CCCGGTGGCGGGATTCATCCCCAAGCCCAAAGTTGACCCGTTAGCACCCCCTGCAGGCTTTATTCCTGCGCCGCGGACGGCTGCTGTGCGAAAGCCGGAGGTACAGATTGCACGCGCTTTTGAATGAGTTTGCAATGCATGTAATTGGCGTGAAACTCCGAACTAATATATTTTTCTCGCCCTTGTGTCTCAGCACACTAAGGGCTCTATCTTGCAAATTACTTTATACACAAACGCATGTCTCATTCCTATTTTGCACGCGCGCAAAGCGGGATTTTCCCCTCCACAGACGCACGTCCGTAAATTAGGGAATAAACTTGCGCTCCCTGGGCAGATCGGCGCAAAAAGGAGGCGTGTTTCGGCGCAAACATTCCCTGGTGCATATTTTACACTTCCAGAACACAATTGCGCCACTGAGCAGAAAAAACCTGGTCTAAAGTCAGTGGCGCGTTGCACGTTGTTCATAATGCTATTTTAAGCGAGCATGCTTGGCCATAATGTAGCATTACACTGATTCTCTCATCAACACAGATGCAGCAGTTTTTATTTTTGCTAATCATACATTATAACAAGGAAAAATATTAACACATGAGGAAATCATTGTGGTTTACATGAAGATGAAAAGTGTAGTACTGAAGGATCAGACCTGTTTGCCCAATAGTGGTAAGAAACATACAGTATGTATATAATGTTTAACCGACGCTGATGTACGAGGGTTTCTCCCATCCCCATACAACGTCACCTCTCTGTTTTTCATTGTCCTGACAAGATCGTCGGTCTCATCGGCTGTGAACGCTCCTGGTAAACTCACCGATATAATAACAGTCCGTCATGCAACATGCAACATGCGCACCTGCTCTTAAAGGGTATGTTGGATGGCACTCTGATTGGTTTATTTCACGTTACGCCCAAACCACACCTATGAATAATGAAGCTACTTCAGACCAACCTCTTTTAGATTTGCGCCTGGCGCAAGAGGCATTTATCCCGCCGGGAAAATAGCAACAGCGCTAACAGGGGACCCGCCCAAAAAGTTACTAGCGCCATGCGCTTTGACACTTGCGTTTCAGATCGTTAAAATAGGGCCCTAACTCTCTGAAGTGGATTGCAGCTTTAACTCTGAAATCAGCTGTCGCCTGCAAGAATTCAGCTTGGCAAATAATATTTTTCTGAAAGACACCATCTCTTTAAAGGGGACATATCATGCAAAATCCACTTTTTTAGCCCTTAAATGCATTTTGTTGTATATTTGGAGTGTTTGTAAGTACAGAAAACATGAAATTATTCTCTTCAGGTGCTTCGTTTATATCTTTATATTCTGTTTTGGTCATATTTTTCAACCTGTTCAGATTTTTCTGTTTTCTATGACGTTTTTTAAACTATTACGTCACCGTATTTGACAAATAATGACATCGACTACCGGCCCAACACTTCGAGCAATCCACCATTATTATTTCTCGATTTTGTAGTCCGAGCTCAATGATGCGGAAGTTACGAGAGGGCAAGTCAAAATGTTCGGTTGTTGGATGTACGTTAGTGACCTGAAGCACTTCAACAACCTCCGCCAGTATAAAGAAGGGTTTGCCGATCGACTTGAGGGGTAAATTCCTTCTATCATTAGCTGCTGTGTTTTCTGACGCTTTTCTACACGTAAGTTATCATATTATTATCAATACAGATTTTTCGTGGTAAGATTAGACCGTAGTCATTTATCTTGTCAGTGTGCTTGTTTTAACAAGAGAAATAGTCGACTTTCACTAATAACACAAAACAGTTAACTCACGTACCACTGCATCCATATGAAGACGTTGTTCTGCAGGTTCGTCGTCGTCTTTATCAACTCGCTCGCTCTGGCTCGAATATGTAAGATGGACAAGTCTTCCGTTGTTGACGTTTTATTAACGTGTGAATAAAAATGTTCTTTGAAGCTATAGTAATCGTATATCTCTAATCAAACTACAATAATGGCCGAACGGGGGGAGTTGAACCGACTGTGGAGAGTGGGCGGGGTATGACGCATCTCCTTTTTATTTAAAGGGGCCGCTTCGAAACGGGTCGCTCACAGACGCACATCAGAAAAGGGGCCTGTTGAGCTATAATAATGAGGAATTCAGACCCAAGCATTGCAGTTATGCTTTATATAGACCTGAAATGTATGATTTATAAGTAAAAATGAATGATATGTACCCTTTAAACTCCCCACTGGCTTTAAAAACAAGTTGATGGGTAGACATCGTATTCTATGGAAATATTAGAAAGTTTGTTGGCTGTATAATCAGACTAACACTGCACTGGTGCGGATCGTGTCAGTCCTGATTGTGGTGGTTCCCATCTGGCTCTTTGATGGCATGATTGTACACTGTGTGTGATTGTGCTGATTAGTTTGTGTCTGTGAAGGTGAAGGGAGTGTCTAAAACTTCTGCAGCTCCTGCTGAAAAACTTCCATCTCAGATTTCTACCGTCACCAACCAACAGGTGTGTGTGTGTGTGTGTGTGTGTGTGTCCTGCAACTGCTAAGATGTTTGTGTAATACAAAGGTGTTCAACAGTGAGAGTTGTGTGTTGAAAGTGGATATGTCAGTGTCTGATTTGACCGCTGTTGTTTACAGATACTCTAGTGTGTCAGACTTGGTCTTGCAGAACTCCGTATGAGCAGGCCTGTAGGTTTCAATGTTGGGATACAATTATTTAATCTGAAGTAGATGTAAATTACTGGTGGTTAATATAATATAATAATAATAATCACCGTGACTCTTCACTGATCCTATATGATTTCATCTGTTAGGTCTCCAGTGATCTTTCTTTCTTTCTTTCTTTCTTTCTTTCTTTCATGAAGTGTTTTATTAAAGGGTCAGTTCCCCCAAAAACTGAATATTATCCCATAATTTACCCACCCTCAAGCCATCCCAGGTGTATATGAGTTTCTTCTTTCAGCCATACACAATCTGAGTTATATTAAGAAATATCCTGAATTATATTAAGAAATATCCTTCAAAATACATTTTGAAACCCCCCAAAAACGCAACCATCCATCATAAAAGTGATCAATACAGCTCCAGGGCGATAGCCCTCAATCAGGTCATGGGGTCTATATGACCCCAATCGACTTTTACTTAATAAAAAAAGGTTCCCTTCATCTCAGTGGAATAAGATTTTATGACTTTTCATACATTATCTATCTATACACACAAAAACTGCTTGATTTGGTTGTTCTGAAGGTATGTAAAAAAAAAATGTGTCAAAAAAAAAAATCTGGCATAAATCTGAAATTTTTTACACAGAAATGAAGGCCTAGTACTAGAGCATAAATGCAATGTATCATAAAAAATAATATTTCATTCATATGCAAGCTAATGGTGTAGTTGATGAATTGTGTGGTATATGAATACAAAAGTACTTTATATCTCCAAAAACACAGCATTAATGAATAGATGAGAAGTAAACAAAAAAAATATATTATTTGTATGATTAAAAATGTTTATTTTTTGTACAATTACTCAATCGATTGTTGAAGCCCAGAAGCGTAAACAGGAAACGAAGACCATTTGAAGGGATTTATAACTGTAAAAACTATCATCTCTAGCTTCTGATAATGACCATTAATGGGTCGAGTTCTGGCAGAAGAGTGACCTCTGACCTTTGATTTATTAGTGATTATTAGTTATACACACCTTTTGCTTTGATTTATTCTCTACGATTCTGCGTTCGTTAATACGTCAATCTACAGCCGGAACTAGACTCGCGTACGGACGTTACCAGAAGGTAGTTTATAAAAATGGATATTTTTCTTACAAAAACGCATTATTAACCCCCTGGAGTCATATTGATCACTTTTATGATGGATGGACGCGCTCTTATGGGCTTCAAAATCCAAGTTACCATTCACACCCATTATAAAGCTTAGAAGAGCCAGGATATTTTTTTAATATAACTGAAAGAAGAAAGTCATATACACCGAGGATGGCGTGAGGGTGAGTTAAATCATGGGCTAATTTTCCTTTTGGGTGAACTAACCCTATATTAAATACATACATATGTAAATGTAGTATTCTTGGCATAAAATAACTGTATTTCAAATACATTTTAGTATATTTTTCACTAGGGACCCCTTTAAAACTGGTTGATTTCTCTTTGACTAGGTTTGACTAATGTTCATGTCAAATATAAATCATATAATCTGCATTATTACCTGCCTCTTCCCTGTTGTTTGTTTATCTATTGAGGATTTGTGTTTACGACTTTCGATCTCTTGGTTTTCCCGGCCCTTTGCAGGCCAAGGCGGCCGAGGACCCGGTGGCAATCCTGCAGGCTGCCCATGAAGCTGCCAGTCTGTCTAAGGTCTGGCCACTGCATTGCCTGTGTGAAATTCTGTCTCATAGTGCTATTAGAGGAGTCAGATCACCTCAGAGCTCCTGGTTGAACCGAAGCATGTTTCCCATTCATATTGTACTTTGAGGAATGTGTGTACATTTGTGCAGTTTCTGTGTGTTATAGATTTCTTTGTGGTGTGTGAAGAGAACTTTTTATATTTTTTCTGTCTAGAAGTAATGGGTGGAGTTTGATTTAGTCTAGCTCCACCTCTGTGGACCAAATGGGTGGAGTTGTGTTTAGTGATGGGGTTATTATGGGTAGGATTGAACCATCTAGCTCCACCCATTACGTCCAGCGATTGGGTGCTGGATGTCAAGCTCCACCCATTGGCTCTGCAAGGAGCAGCCTCTCTGGAATGATTTCTCTGCTGTTTTCTTTGTTTATATGCGTTTATCTCCCTCTATGCAGATCTCTTGTGTGCAGATGCTTCACTATATTATATTCCGATGCTTCATTACCAATATATTTCATTTATATTTTATATCTCAGAATTGTGCTAGCAGTGTTCACTTTCTAAAGTCACAAACATAACAGACTGAAACACTGAACTGAATCACAATCCATCACGGGACATCTACATTACTCGCAGCGTTTGTGTGTGTGTTCTGACTCTCTCGCTCTCGACCGCAG